ATGTCAGTGATACAGCGGGCCATAGAACGCCATGCAGGCGAGAGATTGCAGGGAAAATAGATACTTGATACGACTAATGGGATTAAGTTCAAGGGTTCGTGGAGCATACTGTACCGTTTATTTCATGGTTTATTTCAAAACATTGAATTACCTAGTCATGAATACCACACAGCCATAGTTGGCCTGCTGTGCCGCGCCACGGATGCTACATCCCGCGAGAGTGACCTGTCTTCAACAAATCTTCGGTATAGTGGAAGTCTTGGCTGGTGTTTAATTATTCGATGTTACTTTATCCCCGGACTTTATTCGGCGACGGGGAGGGACATGTTGTACTTTCGTTGCTTTACTAGTTCTGGTTTACAAGTCTCACTCTGGTGAAACCTGTGAACTCTTGGAAGCTGGAGCAAGCTCGTCAAGCCATCATGGTAAAACCTGTCAACTCGAGAAGAGGCTGTCTAGATGGGTCGACACGTCGATGGGAAGTAGAAAAGTGCAAAATGCCCTCCCCCGTTACTGAACTGCCCCTACCCTCGTGAGAATGTAGCACCACTTGTCGCTTCCACTACTGCTCGCTGAATGAATAATATCCGAATCGTGATTACTGCTATTTAATCGAATAGTGTTGTTTTAGGAGAAAACGAAAATGTTGTGTGGCGATATGCTCTTCTCGGGTCATACTCTGACTATGGTAAGTTTTCCACCTGGCCACATTTACACTAATATGTTTTTCCTACTCTTTTTGGGAACCTGTCCTTCAAGTCTTTGAATAGGGTCAAGTGCTCGGTGGCTGATAGGTAATGTTCAATAATTCTTGCCAATGCCGGCTAATTTTCTCAAAGGAAGAACATCATTTTTATCGTCGTAAAAAACCTACCCAAACTTGCATGTTCTTCAGCGCCGCAATATGCTTGAGTAAGTTCTGCCTAGCGGCCGACTTCACACACAGACCAAGCAAAACTCATGTTTTTGCCTCTGCTATGTTTAAGGGGATATTTTGAAATTGTAAAAGAAATATGTACCTCGACATACATTGCGGACACATCACCTAATATTTATTTATTTTATTTAACCCTTAGCAACGTGAGAAGATGTAAATGATAAACATATTTTGGCAATGTTCCAAAGAGCAAAATAGATAATTCCAGGTGACAAGTGCTCTTTGCATCGCTTACTACCTGCCGACTCGATGGCGTCTGCTCCAGTGGATTCCGCACTTCTTTGCCGCCTTTGGAATGGCTTGTATGATCATCTCGCGGACTCACTACACCATTGACATCTTCATCGCCTACTGGCTGTCAAATTTTGTTTTCCGGTACTGATTTTCTAAACTCGCATGGCTTTAACTAATAATGCAGTAGGTGCCAGAGTACAGAATATGTAGTACTATAGCCGTGAAAAATTAGTTTGTATATCAGGACTTATCACGCTTTCTGCGAAGTGGACATTTTTATGGAGCGGAGGAAATCTGTACTGTACGGATTGTGGATGCTTTGGATTGTGGAATGGCTCGAAGATGATATTGTGCCGGGAAAGTGAGTACATACGCAGGGTTCGCTCAAGACTTTCTACTGGAGGAAAATTTTTGAGTGGAAACTTAGATAGATCGATAGTGTCAGTAAAGTCTGGAAAGTCATTGAAATGTGGCGTCTGGAGATATTGTGTGAATTCCCAAGAATTCGTTGGCGGTAGTATTCGAGCTTTTCACCTTCTTGAAGAGTCGTTCCTGCAATTCTATTACTTGAATGTGTAGAGTGAGGGAGGAGTAGGAGTGAAATGGACGTAATCCGCGTGCCGTGCCGCTCCGTATACGGAAAGGAGAAAAAGACACAACAGCTCTGAAACTGAAAGACACACCCATTTCTTTTGGGTATAATGCGCATACATGCTCGCGAGGGCGCTTGCGACAACGCCCGCCCAAAATTCTGAGCACGACGGTTGTTTTTTTTTTTTTGCACTTTTTTGCGTTCTAGTTGTGCCTCAAGCAATTGTTATTCAGTACAGATCATTTGAATAGATAACAACAAAAAATACATAAAAGGGAAGCCAAAAGAGAGACGTGCGTTGTTCGAGGCGAAGGGGCGCTCAAAAATAAGGCAGATATTTTTGAAGAATCGAAGAAAAGAAGAAGAAAGTGAAGAGAATTTTCAGGGTCGAAAACAAGTTCGAATTTCCACTTGATGGCCTCCTCCGACTGCTTCTTCGAGATCAAGCAGTCAAACATCACAAACAAATCTCCATAGTACGTTTCGTTGCGCCATTTTCGACGAGAAAAATTAAGTCCCACGTGAGATTTTTTTGTGCGTGGTTTTTCTTTTCATGAAAAATAGCAGGAAAAAATTCATTATATGAATGATCATCGAAGTTTCAATTTCATAGTTTTGTTATCTGTCCCAAGTTTTCGACAAAAGCCGCCCGTTTCGTTGAGTCATCTCTAATTTTCATTTTTACGCACGTAGATGTGTCATTGTCATTGTAGCATGAAAAAGCACAAAACCATTTTCTCAATTTAACAGTCTTCATATTGCATATCACAAGTTTTTGTCATCGGTGATTCAACGAAACTGGTATTACATGGCCTTCATCGAAAAGAAATTAACCATCTTACTAAGGAAGGTCGTCAGGTTAAAGTGGCCATTTGTAATGAGATGTAGCTCACTAGACGTGGTTTTGGACGCTGATCTCGAATCTGCCTTCGAAATTTGCAGAGCGATTCTCTGAACGGAGTTTTGTTAGAATTAAAATGAAGGAAAACGGAGTCGAGCGCGGTTGCCAGCCAATTCGCATGAATAGCCGGGAAGCACCCTTACGTTCAACGGCGGCATGGTGTAGTGGTAATGGTCTTGCTTCGCGGGCATGCCATGAAGGGTTCGAATTTCTGGAAGGGAACTTCTTTTGCATTTTGTGGGGAATGTCTCTTTTAAGTCTAGAAAACACTCAAACAAATGGGTGCCATATTCGTGTTCAGGGAGCAAAACTACCCTTGGGGACAGGTTTCTAGCCAGATGTGAGGTTTTGACCTAACTTTGAAAAGTGCGGTAGCAGTTGATCGAATGATGGTCACCAATAGTTCCAGGGCCAGTCTCTTGTCGATTGCTTGTCTTTGGACAGAATTTGCTTTTAGATACCAGGAAAACTGGAGCAGTAACAAAATGAATGCGTAAGAAGAGGGGAGACGAGGCTTTGTGCAGGAGAATGTATCTGCAGCTGAATAGGTGTGAACATCAACTGAACTAACCCATGGATGCTTCACTTTTCGAAGTCAGGTCAAAATGCCAGATTTGGCTAGAAACCTCTACCTAGGCGTAGTTCGCCCCCATAAATACGAATATGTGCACTCGCTCAGCGCGAAAACGCCTGCACTATGCGCCAAGGGCATCTGTACATCCAAAAATTCTAGATCACAAGGCAGCAAGCGAGCCAGTAAGCGAATGCAAACTGTTTCTCAGGTAAGTTAAGGAGAGCGCTAATGTAGTAGTGACGCCACAACTACTTTTTGCCACGTTTGCGCAAGAAGCAAAAAAAGTTAAGCGTCCAGGCCAGGATTCGCGATGCGCCACTACTTGTTTGCGTGGTAAATGCGGAAGAAAAAGCTCCATAGCTCCTTTCGTGGAATCGCTCTACAAATTTCGAAGGCAGGTTCGAGATCAGCGTCTAAAACCACGTCTAGTGAACGACATCTCATTACACACTTTGACCTGGCACCTTTCCTGAGTTCATCAAATGGCCCTTGTTCTTATTGGCAATTTACGGGGCCTACCGGAGGAGGCTCATCATTCAGTCAGCAACAGGTGAATAAGACGCCTAGACAAACTCTTCTCCAAGTAATGATTCATTTCTGAGAATAAACCCTCTACTATTGTCTAAGTACAGCACGGCCCGCTTCTAGTTTAAGAGTTTCTGGTCCATATAAGGCAGTTTCTAGTGTTGGCCGAGGGCAAGTCACAGCGGCTCGTCCGCAGCCGGTAGTAGGAACAATACCGGCCGCTAATTTCGGCATCCGGACGGTTTGCGACAGATTTTTCCGTCGCAAACCGTCGCTTTGCCATAACTGCCGTAAGAATGATCCAAATTCTCTGAAAGTTACACTGATGGGTAGCTCTTAGCATGACGAGTCCAGTGATCTGTGAAACGTTCACTTTTCTCCCATTTTCGGTCTTATTTTTGAGAAGTCCTACGATTGAGTCTCCTATTACCTAGGGTGGTACCTGGGGACACGAATGCGTCATAAACTCCCAGTTCAACTGCGTGATTCAATCTGAGCGTTCAAAAGTCAGAGATACCAACATATTTGGGGAGGGCGCGTCTTCGCGATCATTTTGATACTGGATTTGATAAGGTTTCAGTGAAATTCTGCGCGAAATGGAGGTTCCTTCGTTCGTCTTTTGCTATAATTCAATTCGTGTCAACTTTTCTCAAGTCTACACCATAAGACTCAGCTCGTCGAGTTCTGTAAGCTGTTTCCTAGAAAAGTTAAAAAGTTGAAAAATGAATTCTGGTCCCTGTCGAAGTACCTGAGGACACTCGTTAGCGCCCGAGTCTCGCCATAATTGTGACTAGGGGAGGACCGTTGGGAGTTAAATCATTCAGGAATCAAATAAAGTACTGTATAGCGTAAGAAGTGATCGAAAATTATTTAGTTGTGTTTCCCAAGTGATGCTGATCGTAATGGTGCCAATTTTTTTGGAAATAATGCGGTTTTGCTCGATGTCATTTTTGGACGATATAGATTTTTCAGTCCGAAAAATCTCGAGCTGTGACTCGGTTCGGACCGCATGAGCGCAACGTTCCTAATGTATAGAGTCCGTTCTCCAGTTGTATTCGTGAAATTTGGGAATGAATTCAAAAAAAGTGTTTTTCCAGCCTACTTGAAAATAATAGCACATCGCGCGACTACTCACGCAACTACTTCGATTTCAGGGCGTTTTGGAACAAGATGTTCGCAGCTCTCTGAGGGGGCCCCAAATAATTCCATCAGAAAAGCTCCAATGAAGGAGACTTTGTGGCTTGTCCCAACCAACCTTGCTAAAAACGGCATATTTCAGAATGGTTGTTGAATCGGTTGAATGTATCGGGTGCCATACAAGACTTCATTTCAGAGCAAAATTTGGCGTTTTCCAAAAGCAGAAAATCAAAGTCAAGTGTAGCATCATTCGAATCTCCATGAGAAATCCTACCTATTCATATGCAAATCGAGCCCGTCATGGACTTCTATGACGCCATCGCCATTTCCCCGGCTTATGTTACCGTTGTCGCGCACTTCCTCCTAAGTGGTCATCCCACGAGGTGTCAGGGGTTAGATAAAAAATGGTACGATCCACACACAGCTCGTTAAATTATGCCGTCGCTTGTGCTCGCCCCTAGGTGCGAGACATCATTAACCAGAGTAGCGGAAGAGCGACCCAATCATTAAGCAGGGGGAATGCGTGCGTCGATGCGAAGTGAACTCCATCCATATAGAGATCAAATTGAGTTACGAAATCGAAAAATCGGAGTGAAAACTAAAACTAGTCAAAGGAAATTAAAAAAAAACGTGAGGCTCACTGAAATCGAATTACTCATAAAAAATCTGGCACTTCACGTTGGTAAAACTCAACAAAATGGCATTGTGTAATTACTGATTGACCGTCAGTGGAAAGCTTATCCATATGGTCTTCCTAGTTATCATGCTATCTAGATCGGCATAAATCGATCGGAAACAGCCGCTACCGCTTACGAAGACTTGGAAGTCGCGTGGAAATCTTTGAAAATCTACGGAGGGATTCCTTGGTATAATCACTATAGATCTCACTGCCTCCTTCGGCGGTTAAATACAGGTAATGACCTTTGCTGGCCTTCGTGTCATATTGTCCCGTAACGACTCTATTATGACTTTGAAAACTCTGGCGCAAATATAACTACTTAAGAAGTCATGAGTAATACTTAAGCTAACAGGTAGGAAGTAAGCACACAATTCGTTTATTTGAGCAACTTTTGTGTTATCATGTACTCTAGTACTAATCTACCATTCTTACACTATCAGCAGGGAGTATCTAGTGCCCAAATAGAGTGCTACTGCATAAAAATGTCTCATAATAATAATAATTTGTACACTTGTTCTTGTTTAAGTAATAATAATAATAATAAATATATGAAATATATGGCAATCTTTTTACCCACTTTACCGAAATCTTGCAATGGATTTATTCCGATTTGGATAGCTTAATAGCTTTTCCTTGAAGTGAGGTCAGCTGCAGTTGAGCTATCTGACGTTGCCTCGCTGAATGAGGTCGCTTCGCACCTCGCTAATCGGCTTAATGAGGTTTCTTCGCACCTCGCTAATTATGCCTCGAATCCAGGTGCGAGAAGTCGTTAACGAGGTGCGATCGTACCATTCTTATCCTCCCCGGTGTCAGGGCATTGTATTGATCTAGTAATTTCATCCATCAACACTTTCGTCTCTTTTGTTCACTATTTCGCTGAAGGTTCGTGAGGATCGGCCTCAGGAAATGTTGCTTTCAATTTACATTTGACCTTTCGTCGAAATTTAAAAATTTTGTGCTTTGAATCACGAACTCCTCCATCATTTGGGGGCCGTTTTCATGATAAACCTTACATAATAGAATGAAAAGTAGCCGGTTTTACAATGCCCCACTTCTCTAAATAATCGATTTCGCTACGAAGCTCAAAAGGACGATGGATTTCAATAAATGTCAAGTGTTAATTACCCCCAATGTTCAATGATAAAAGCAAAGTTTTGTAGTATAAGTTGGATTAGAGCATTTCATTGGAAACACTCCCCAATTCAAGCAGGTTGTAAAACCATAAGCCATAGTTGCCACTCGCAAACTATTCGAATGATGAGCCAACAGTGGCCTAGGTAATGACCGCAGTACCGCGCGGAGGTCGAGCTTCGGGAGGCCTTCGTTCAAACGACAGCTGAAGGAAGCAACTGTAATACTATGTCTGTGGGTGGTATGGAAATGCTAGACACTCAGGAAGAGTTGCAAAACGCAAAACTATGGCGTTTTTTGGAAACCGGGAACTGTTTGAGTAGCAAACATTTTTTGAAAGCATCCGATTGCCTTCGAGTACACGAACTCAAGTTGAAACGAGTGTGTTTATGGATCTGGTGGATGCATGGGGTGCTCCAAAAAGAATCTCAAAAATCGCCAAGGAAAGAAAGTTGTTGGCGGTGAAAAAAAATTCAAAGCATAAAGGTTTTTCGAAATTTTGATGAAATTCAAATTTGAAATAAGAGGAACATTTCTGAGAATGGTGACGATGAAATGGAACAAAAGAGACGAAAGTGTTGATGGATGAAATTACTAGATCAATACAATGCCCTGACACCTCGGTGGGATGACTACTTAGGAGGAAGGTTCGCTGACACGGTAGATAGCCGGGGGAAATGGCGATGGGTCATAGAAAGTTCCATGAGGTGATTTGCATATGAATAGGTAGGATTTCTCATGGAGATTCGAATGATGCTACTTGACTTTGATTTTCTGCTTTTGGAAAACGCCAAATTTTGCTCTGAAATGAAGTCTTGTATGGCACCCGATACATTCAACCGATTCAACAAACATTCTGAAATATGCCATTTTTTTAGCAAGTTGTTGGAAAGCACAAGCCTCCTTCTTGGAGCTTTCCTGTGGAATGTTTGGGCCCCCTCAGAGAGCTAGAAATCTTGTTCAAAAACGCTGAAAATCGAGTAGTTGCCGTAGTATCGCGCGATGTGCTCATTTCAAGTAGCTGAAAAAAGACACTATCTTTTCTGAATTCATTTCCAAATTTCACGAATCAACTGGAGAACGGACGTGCTATACATTTAGGAACGATCTGCGCTCATTGCGTTCCGAACGCAGATCCAGCAGCTCGAGATTTTTTCGGACTGAAAAATCTATATCGTCCAAAAATGACATCGAGCAAAACGCATTATTTCCAAAAAAATTGGCACCATTACGATCAGCATCACTTGGGAAACACAACTAAATAATTTTCGATCACTTCTTACGCTATACAGTACTTTATTTGATTCCTGAATGGTTTAACTCCCAACGGTCCTCCTAGTCAAATTAGGCGAGACTCCGGGCGCTAACGAGTGGTCACTCAGTACTTCGACAGGGCACCCAGAATTCGATATTTTCAATTTTTAACTTTTGCTAGAAACAGCCTTACAGAACCGACGAGCTGAGTCTTATGTGTAGGAACTTGAGAAAAAGAGTTGACACAATTTGAATTATACGGCAAAAACGAACGAGAGAAATCCTTCCCTTTTCGCGCAGATTTCACTGAACTTATCAGATCCAAGTATCAAAATGGACGGCGTAGTGCGCCTCCCAATATATGTTGTATCTCTGACTTTTGCAACCGCTCAGACTTGAATCACGCAGGACGACTGGGAGTTTATGACGCAGTCGTGTCCCCAGGTACCACCCTAGGTAATAGGAGACTCAATCGTAGGACTTCTCAAAAATAAGACCGAAAATGGGAGAAAAGTGAACGTTTCACAGATCACTGGACTCGTCATGCTAAGAGCTACCCATCAGTGTAACTTTCAGAGAATTTGGATCATTCTTACGGCAGTTATGGCAAAGCGACGGTTTGCGACGGAAAAATCTGTCGCAAACCGTCGATTGACCAGAAATTAGGGGCGGTATTGTATTTGCATACAGGTCGCAGGTAGGGTAACGATTGAGCTCGTGTGTGCATCTCGCCCCTCCTCCTCTGGAGTGTCTTCCGCGCGCTTACTTCTTCATTATGTGATCGCTCATTTTCCGAATTATTGAAATGAGGAGGGCTTTGGATAGGGCGTAATTATTACTGGTGTTTAGCGAAGTGCGCTAGTGGCCGCCTCTACCAATGCTTGCCTCGAGAATCAAATTTCTGTAGGAGCTCGGAGCCCGAGATTCATCATGGCTTTTATCATGAGTGTGTAACAACAATGTTGAAATGCCTCCAAAATTTTAATTCAAAAGACTCAAAGACGAGTGAAAGTTTCAAACGTTGTTATAACCCCACACGTACGAGCTATCTTAACTTGCAATATTTCGGTGCGTAGCACCTTCGTCAGGCCTGAAAATATTTAGCTTGTTTTGTTGGTTATACCTTCTACAAAGTGCAACCCGCACGGACCCCACCCCCACCAAGCCACTTACCAGTTGTCCCGAAATAAATGACCAACCCACCCCAACCATGCCCTTAAATAGTGGGATGATCTTGTTGGGCGATCAGATGAGCTACGTGACATCATGCAAGTGATAATGTGATCGCGCCACAAGTATCCCACTATTTAAGGGCATGGTTGGGGTGGGTTGGTCATTTATTTCGGGACAACTGGTAAGTGGCTTGGTGGGGGTGGGGTCCGTGCGGGTTGCACTTTGTAGAAGGTATAACCAACAAAACAAGCTAAATATTTTCAGGCCTGACGAAGGTGCTACGCACCGAAATATCGCAAGTTAAGATATATTATAACAAACTTTTGAAACTTTCAGCTCCAAACATGTCTTTGAGTCTTATGGATAAAGTTTGTGGCAGTTTCACATTGTTGCTTTACGATCACTCAGATAAGAAATAGGACTCCCGCGACAGCACCATATCTCCACTGCTCTATTATCAACGAACAGCTAGGGATTAAGGATATACGACGCGCGCAAAACAGAGAAATCAACAGTCGAAAAAAAGTCACCCAAACCAAGAACGACCCATCCCCTCTGCTCCTGCGCTGGCCCCATGCGTTACACTCCTGCGTGGCGTGCTTTTATCGATGGCTTCCGGTGATACGAAGTAAATCAGTTCGGCATATACTAGTCCTCATCATTGCAGACCGGTGGGGCGGGTGAGCCGCGCTGCGTGTGACTCGGCTGTGACGCGGCAGTGATCACAGCCGAGTCACAAGCAGCGCGGCTCACCCGCCCCACCGGTCTGCAATGATGAGCACCAGTATTTAGCATTTGTGCGTAGTGGCGGCCGGCTCCTATAGTCAAGGCTCAATCGTACCATCTGCAGCATCTCGAACTCAAAGAGTTTGGTCTCAGACAAGACCTAGCAATAGGAACCAGTAAAAGCGCCTAGTGCCCCTCCAAAGCCGAACTTTGCTCTTACTAGATTACCACAGCAGCTGGGACTGAAAGACGAATGCGTAGCGTATAAGAGAAAAAAATTGCCCTACAGCTAGAGCTCTTTCCTTCTGACCTTTATCCATGCTGGTATGTGACACCCATAATTTTGAGTTTTTGAGAGCATTTTTGATACCTTTTTAGTGGTTACTAACACGAATGAAACTTCGACGACTTGCCTTTTATCTCGGAAAAAAATTTAATTCATGCTTGACGGCTACATTATAAAAGTGTTATTCTTAACTATTTAATATTGGTAATATTTTCAAAATGATGCCCATTCATAACTATAGTTATTTAACCATTGCAGTTTCAGAGTTCTGCTTCCACGTTCAATCTGCCATGAGCACTTACACAATATTCGCCCACAGTATCCTTATTTTCCCGTATGGATTCAGTCAATTGTTCAATGGACCCTTTACGAGTATTCATCGAGGTCTCAAGTAGTCGCCCAAATTATTCCAAATGGAACCCTGTGCGTTGTCGGTATGGCGCTTACTGCCGACCCTGTTTTTTCGGATAACGTTAGGCTGCATTTATACTTTGCGACTGGAGCGATTTATTCGCGCGATTTGCGAATCGCAGGATAGATGCTCCACATTAATCGTTGGACCGTTGGTATTTCTTTCTAAATTTTTAGCGGCCTAATAATTAGGGGTAAAGCGCGGTCGGTCAGAGTCTCAGTCACGTTATGTGACATTCGCTCGGATGAATCGCTCAAGTCGCGAAGTATGAAAGCGCAATTATCCGAATGCAGCCTACCTCGTCTGTGGTAGGTCACAGTGTCTAGATCATAATGCCGAGAATGGATTTATTGGAACGGCCCATGAGCTAGGCGGTGAGACAGGCCAATTCCAAGTGTCTTTTATCATGCACACTGGTTTTCTGATTGCTTTTATGGAATGTATCTAGTATTTTTGTCTGTTCGCGGTACCCTCTTCCTATCCATATTTCCTCTTTCTCCCTGTGTATTCAAACATATCCTGCTCGTAATGATAATCTGTAGATAACGCTAATTCTGTGCAGTTGTTGTAGATAACATTAAATGATTTTTATATCAGGCAGTTAAACTGTGATATTTTACATACGAGTGTTCATACTTGGATACGAACAAAAGATGATGATGATGAAATAAATAAATTATAATTCTTGTTCTATCATCCTTTTTTATCGGATAGTTGCTCGATGAACTTCTTGATGAATAGCCTTCATGAGTGGATACGTACCATTACCACATGACCCGTAAACGTCATCAGACCCTAAAAAAGCAATTTTGAAAAATTGCACTTCGTGGTGAAGTCCTATGAATGACACCTTTGATTGAGGTCAGTGCAGGGTGATCACGGGTAGTTTGAAGAAAGTTCGATATGTTCACGCTTCTTAGGATACCGGGAAATCCACATTATGGCTGCACATACGAATTATTTAGCTAGTATTCCCTGAGTTGTTGACAAGACGTGGATGGCAGTTCCATGTCAAAGTGCAATTAGGTCCATGTGTGAATGCCTTATGGTCAAACTTGTACAGTCCATTTTGTGATGATCTGTGAATTCCAGTAACCGAAGTGGCTCACTTGTGCCATTTCGCAGCTTCACAACACTTTACAGGTCTCACCAAAATGAGGCCTGTTAGTAAACAAGAACCAGTAAAAGGAACTAGCAAAAAATGGTCAATGCTGCCCCCTCTCCCTCTTCCACTCCCCTCTTTGCCAAATAACGTCCCAAAAATTAATAGTGTATGCTGAGGAGAGGCACAGCAATTGATGGGGAATTTTGTCGAGCGCGGGAGTACAGACTCCCCCCCTCTTTGTGTTTTTACTAGTTTGACTGTTCATGCTTCGTGCTGAAGAATTAGATATAAACAATTAGATATAAAAAATAGATATAAACAGTCCTACCTAAGTTGAGTTGATTTACTTATGTGCAAGCGTTTGTAATCAAAAACAGGATGAGTAGCATAAACACAGCATAAATGCGAGTTAAATGAGACTATGACTAAAACGAAAAACAAAAGGCGGCATAACAGGAAGAAAAAAAAACAAAAAAGAAATGCGCTAAAAATGCATTAACCCGAGATGTGGAGTACGGTAGCAGAAATGCGTATGTAATTGCAGCCGTGACCGGAGATTATTCGTCAATTTTAGCACTGGAGCGCGAACTTTCAGCAAAGTGGGTGTCTTTGAGACATAACTTCGCTCTAAAGCGGTAACCTGTGGGGAAGGGATGACCTGTGTTTGCACTTCCTAAAAGTACTGAAACGTTTATGAAGGTCGCAAAAATCACAGAGAAATCTGCCATGGGGATTCGTTGGGGAGTGATTTCAACTGAACAGGTTTGAATCAATATATTTTTTTTGTAACTCAACATTTCACAAATCTGAGAACGGATTTCGAGTGTTTGAAGATTTCTCTTTTCTAAAACGCTGCATTGAACTGTTTCTGAAGCTCTCGGGATTCATGAGATCTCGCTATGGGGATTTCTTGAGGAACACTCCCAGCTGCGCGAAAAACCCGTTTCCTGTGTACCGTTTCAAGTGAGCGTGTTCGAATAGCCAGGAACGCATGTAGAACGTATCCTGTGGTGGAGCAGGAGCAGGATATGGTTCGTTTAGCGCCGATCACGCCAACTTTGGATGCGCCGCGCACTGAGGTCCGCGCAGAGGTGAAGGGATGGTGCAATTTGTGCGTAATGTCTGTCCACGAGAGCAAATGTGTCTATAGGATTCAGGGAGATCCATGGCGAACCTGTGCACTTGTTTACAGTGTTTTCCCTTGCGATGATGGATGATGGAGCGTGTCTGTGTCGACGCCGCCAGATGTGTGCTCCGCCAATTGCTGTCTCCGATAAAGGAGACCAACTGCTGGAAAACGTCTGGTACGAACGATATGGTAGTCCTGTCGTTTGTTGAAAAAGAGGTTGGCACTAGAGCGCCAAGCGTAATCGCGGACACGCCCCATCATCCGCAACGAACCAGAGTATGAGTTGTACTGTTCAGTCATCAACGGACTTACGAGATAATGTCGACTTATTATAATAATAATTTCAGTTATTTCGGATTAATTGATGGTTGAAAGTTTTCTACTATTTCTTTTACATATCCGAGTTCTCTACAAAGCGAGTCCGCTACTCGGATCAACACACTGTGAGACCTTTGCGCTGCTGCGTATACTGACTACGCCCTCATTAACGACTCCCCCCTCTCCTGGTGTGGCCAAATAGACTTCACTCCCTATGGGGATTCCTCAAGCCAATGATTGCCCTGATGTGAAGCCTTTTGCATTAATTTGAACTATTATCAGCTAAACGATTCATCGCGTCATGCGCGTAGGTGCTGGTGAGCTACGATAATTATGTTCTGAAAATCAAGAGAAGTATCGATCCTGGTTAAACGGCAAAAAACTCTTGCATAATTCGTCTCAATAATATTAAGACCTCTGACAGTGAGGTCGGAATGGCTGGAAGCAAGCAAGCCCTCCCAGTCATGCTAACATTGGGTGCCACGAGCAGAGCATAAATTAGGAGAAAGTCAACCTCTGGGATTTATTCTGAGAACATTTATAATGTTGGTGTCGTAGAGTATGGAGCGTACCTCCGCGTCACGGCGAATGCGTCGAAATAGGCGCTACAGGCGACATGGCTTACGCAGCATTCCCACTAGGACCAATCTGTTCAACTGGCAAGTGACGCGCGCCTGCTCTCCTGCATCTGCGTCTCTCGATTTTACTAGCTCTCTCTGTTTCTGTCCCTGTTTAATGGACTAAGGTGGGGGTACTCTGTTAGTGCCGCGATTTGGAAGTAGCGCACACACCTGGTGACGTATACGCCGCAAAGGTAAGGCAGAAGGATACTCACCAATGTGGTAGACCATCACTCCGGCGATGTGCAAACTTTTTGCATAGGTCGTTTTTGCTTTCACACTACGAACATCTTCGAAACTCAGCCAGAGTTTATCAGTACCTGAAAAAGTAGAGAAGTACATGAACACTGTGCTCTCCACGCTCGCGTTGCGGAAACTTTTGCTAAATACGGCGCCATCTCGAATTCTCTCCCCCCCCCCTTGGTGCACCTCTTTCACAACTCCCTTTCCCTAACCTTTTTCCAAAATTTTGTCATGGAGTGGTCGAGATGAGTAGGGGGCGGGAGGAGGAGACACGCCTGATCAGCGATCAGCAAAAATAGTCTTGTTTTGTAAAGCGCACGTGAAGCGGGAAAGATCAACAGGCCGAATAAACTCTCATGGCGAAGTGCGACCTTCCCGATATTTTACCCAGCGGACGATGTACCCTGATACCCAGTGTTGTGCTACTCTCCAGTTGACGTTTTGCGGATGAGGTTGGTCATGAGGCGGTCACCTCGATCGTATGGGCGGAGACAGCCAACTTCGATATTTTCGCACTGGTCTTAGTTACCTTCCCTGAAGAAAGGCTGCCGCAATAATGAAACCGCGACGGTTGGCTGTCTCCAGGTCAAACAATCGATTCAATCGCAATAGGTTTTCCTACGTTGTCTTGGAAAGTGTGTAATGATTAAGGATTTTCGCTTCAGACAAAGCCATGCTTGCTCAATCGTTAAATTACCGAACCGTGAAGATACGGAGAAGCAGCCAGATCGTTCCAAACATATGTGTACACATTGTGCTCGTCAAGTAGCCGACATATCTGAACGGTCAGTTTTCCCTTCTTCGTGCACAAGTATTACGGCGTTGGATCATCGTGCTCGCTACGGCGTAATGGCTGCGAGCCCGAAGCCACGGCGCCGCAGCGTGAATTCCCTAGCCGACACGCCTTGTGTGCTATGTACATGTACTGGGTGTATACTCGAAATCCCTGAGATCGGGTAGGCGTGGCCGCATGTTTCAACTTAACCTGAAGGTGTCTATGCTTCTGGTGAGATATTTTCATCTTGACACAATTGTTGTCGTGTCTCTGTCCAACACAGAACAAGATGACAGTTGTCCCAGACTGGAATATTCCACGAGTAACCAGTTCCGTGCCATGTTCAAATGCCACGCCTACTCTAGCTCAGAGATAAGGAGTGTATGTACACTCCATATCCAGATAATGTGGAGGTGTTGCTGTGCAGTTCATTCAGATGTGGCGGTAGCTGCACATTCAGTTGGATCTTGTTGTTTTGGGACAATCATAGACATTCTTCATTTAGCGCAATACAGTAG